TTCGTAGGCTGTTGCATATATATGTTTTTTACACATCGTGGATTCGCTGCTAACCAACATACTTCATAAGGTAATTTAAGGAAGAGTTATGTCTGCATTACCGTATTTTTTTAACAGATATATTCTATTTGTTACTGTCATTTCAAATGATGGCTGTTGTTTGACATCCCAGGTGTGACTGCGCTTGATGTGCATGTTGACAAGATGCCTACCTGTCTATTACCCACTACCTCGTCCATATTGGCTCCGGGGTACAACTGGTCGTTGCTGGAGGGGAGGGGGTGCACGGTTCTCGTGGCCGTGTTAGGATCAAAGAGTGGTTCCATGCACTCAGTGTGGAGGGGACTGCGGTCCAGCTACTGCCTTGTGTGTGATTGAGTCCCCAAATACAGCGTGCTTGTGTTTGCCTGTGAATGAGTGTGGGCCGGCTCCGTTGATGAGACGTGGCTCCCATCCACATGCATCCCGGTCTTATTCCATCGGGTTTACACTAAATATGGGGTTTGTAGATGGAGCTGTGGGTGGTGCAGCGCAAGATACCCATGGTCCCTCTGTAGGCGCAGACGCCCTGTGGCTGGCCATAGTGACAAGCAAATCCGAAACCGGATGCCGCCAATATATATATATATATATATATATATATATATATATATATATATATATATTTATATGGCTAGGAGCCGGACCCAATGGCGTTTGTGTTGTGTTCTTGGTTGCATTCCGCTCTCGCTTAGGCTCCCCCTACAATCACGATCTTATTCGTTAGGCGTAATATAACTCTTTTTTTGCGGCAAGACAGCTGGCTGTTAGCTCTCCGGAACAATGTCCATCCGTTACTGGGATTTCGGCAGGCGTACCTCTGCAGCTAACGTGTATAATGATGATGATGGCGTTTGCATATCGCTACACTTAGTGTGTTCATGAATAATGCGGAAGGCAAGAGACCATAAGAGGAGTATTAGAAGAAACGTTTCCTTGCACATCAATGGTAACCTTTCGGGATTATGCAATTGTCAATTGCAATCTGCATACTCAAAAAGTAAAGGGTTGCAGAGCCAAGCTGAAGAAGAAATGTGGCTAGTTGCGGGTACTTGATTAGGTGACGCTCAGTAGGTATCTGTGTCTGCACAGGTGATGTGTGGTTCCCCATGGCGCAGACGGATCTTTTCGTCAATATGCCCCCACCCACTGGAAACACAGATATAGACCAGAAAGTGGGAATCTTTTGTTTGGGTGCAACTTACTCCAAATTGGTTAAGTGGAGCGTAAACACCAATGATAACACAGCGGACCTTAGATTCTGTAGTCGGAATAAACTAGGACGGCA